AGATAGATAGATAGATAGATAGATAGATAGATAGATAGATAGATAGATAGATAGATAGATAGATAGATAGATAGATAGATAGATAGATAGATAGATATGCAGCTGGTGAAATTTTGAAAAGTTTCAATTTAGATTTATACAAAACAAAAAAGTGTGTAGTAATGCAACTATATAAAAAAAAGAAAGTAAATGCCCAACAAAAGTGCAATTGTTTCAATTTTTGCAGAAGAGAATAATCTTTCTGCAGTTGGATACACAACTTGGTAATGTTTTTACACTTCAGACCTTTTTATTTTCTGTCTGGAGGTGCAGTATGGTCCACAGAGCAGGGATGATGCAACAGCACCACCTTCTGAGGAAAAGTGTAATCACACAAACAAATCTGACAAGTCAGGTCCTCCGGACAGATTCTTTAAACGTTTCGTCTTTTATCCAAAAGACCTTCAGTCTGAGGAGCTGCAACAAACTCTTATAAATACTGTAGCACCCTCTCATAGTGGATCAACCAGTTTGCTGGTGACAGCCAAAACTAGTTGTTCACAACCAACAGGAGCTTTATCAGAATAACAATTGATCGTTTGTGCCCTGATGGTTGCTTGATATTCACAGGGGGCTGAGTGACACTAGCAATCACAGCATTGTAAGAGGGGGACAGGTGAACATGGAGGCCTCTGTCTCTGTTTAACGATGGGCGGGTTCTCTTCACAAAGATGGCTTCCTTCACTCCTCTCTCAAAGAATCGTTCCTCTCTATCCAGGATGTGAACATCTTCATCCCTGAAAGAGTGACCGCTGGCCTGGAGATGAGTGTAGACCGCAGAGTCCTGGCCTGATGATGTTGATCTTCTGTGCTGGGCCATCCTTTTGGCCAGAGGCTGTTTAGTTTCCTCGATGCAGAACTGATCACAGCCCGCCTGACACTGAACAGCATACACAACATTACTCTGTTTGTACTGGATATTTGGGATGGACCAGTCTTTGCTGTAATGTAGTTTGGGGCTTGAAAGCCACCGGGACGTCTTGCTTGGAAAATAAACGTCTCAGTTTCTCTGAAACTCCCGCAACATACGGAACGACCACTGGACTGAGTCTGGGTTCCTCCTCTTCACCTGATACAACAAGAATCCGTCCAGAGGACCTGACTTAACCTTGTTTGATTTATCTACCTGGATTACCGAGCATGCATCACAAGCAAATGTACAACATTTTAAATCACTTATTAAATGTGCATTATTGACTCTTTTTTTTTTTTTTTACAGTTACTACTAAGTGAATACCAAAAGTCATAATTTTTCATTGCCAGTTTATTGATGATATACAATTAGTGTACACAGTGTTCATATATTATTACTCTGTTTTGTTTTGTATGTTTGTGTGTGTGTGTGCATGTGTATGTATGTATGTATGTATACATGCATGTCTAAGTTAGATGTAATAATAATAATAATAATAATAATGTCTGGCAGCACGGTGGCGCAACTGGTAGAGCTGCTGCCTCTCAGCGAGAAGGTCCTTGGTTCAAACCCCGGTCCAGGGGCCTTTCTGGGTGGAGTTTGCATGTTCTCTCCGTGCATGCGTGGGTTTTCTCCGGGTACTCCGGTTTCCTCCCACAGACCAAAAACATGCATGTTAGGCTGATTGGTAACTCTAAATTGTCCCTAGGTGTGAATGAGAGATTGAATGGTTGTTTGTCTCGTTTGTCTCTATGTGGCCCTGTGATGGACTTGCGACCCGTCCAGGGTGTACCCCGCCCCTCGCACAGTGATTGCTGGACATGGGCACCAGCGACCCCCGTGACCCAAAATGGAATAAACGGGTAAAGATAATGGATGGATGGATAATAATGTCATCACAATGTCAGCACTGTATGTTTTCCATACAATGGCTAAATTAGTCTCTGCATTTAACCCATCCACCACCAGGTGGTGCAGTGGGCAGCTATTGAAAGCGCCGGGGGGCATTTTGGGGATGAGACGTGCTGCCCAGAGACGCCAGGTGATGTGCAGTGACTGGGGATCGAACCTGGGACTTTCGGGTCCCAAGCCGGCTGCCCTGCCTCTACACCATCTCGGCCCTCATTGTTAGATGTATTACATGTAACATGTAATAAGTGCTATGTGTTGTAATCATTGTACGTTTTCATACAATAGTGAAATTAGTTCTCTGCATTTAACCCATCACACCTGAAATACACCCAGGTGGAGCAGTGGGCAGCTATATGTAAGCGCCCGGGGAGCAATTAGGGATTAGGTGTCTTGCTCAAGGACACCACAACATGCAGGCATGGCGGGGAGTCGAACCGTGACTTTCTGGCTCCAAGTTACGACATACATGTCGTTGTCAAATGTACAGTATCGAGTTCATGCAAGCATGCATGTAAGTATGCATGTATGTATGCATGCAAACATACATGCATGTGATCCAGGAAGTCTGATCTATCAGGCCTCCTGGATCACACTGAGCCTAGTGCTCTTGGTACTTTCAGTTTCACACAGAAAGAAGTACAGAGCAGACTTATATGTGTTAAGAGTAATTTACATTTAAAGATCTTAGGCACTCTGTTCGTTGCTCAATTAAAAATACACATATAGATAGTTTTTGACAGTTGTATTCACATTAAACTCTAATTTCCCTTTTCTTTCTCCCACCTGGTCTGTAGCGGTGAGGTGAGCATGAATTCTGCTAATGGACTGGTCGTTGGGGAGAAGAATGTCACAACTCTTGCGTCCCACTGTGTACTCTTTACCGGGGAGAAGATAGTGGGTCTCCCCTGTGAAAAGACAGACATTAGATCCATATCAATGTTATGTAGATCTTGTTGTAACATCTAGTGATTCATCATCTGGTGATCAACTGGTGATTTTTACAACGATACATACTTTAATGTTTGTATCAGCTGGAGAATAATATCGTATCCAGAGCGCCCCCCACCCCTTTAAAAAACGTCTTAAGTCTTAAAAAGGGTTTTTAGACCTGAAATGTATAGAAATGACTGATGACGTCAAGGCCTCTTTTGCACAGCAATGTGGTATTGAAAACTTGTTTTAAAAAATGTGATTAGTTGTATAAAATGATTAATTTCACGACAGAAGTTCCTCAGACCCTCGCAGACTCTTCTTAAACAAATCATATTCTAAATGAGACTGCTGTAAGTGCTCAGCAGCCAGATCAAAACTAGTTTGTCCCGTTAGCTGCAGGGGGCTAGCTTTAACAAAAATGTCCGTCATGACGGGAAAAAGTTACCTCCAAGCTCCTGTGGTGTCAGTATCCACATTTTTCGGCCTTTCGTCGTTTGTTCATTGAGTATAAGCAACAACATGTAAGAAAATTTGCAGCATTTTTTACAAAACAACACGACCAACTCCCATACATTTCGCGCCCCGATGACGTCACAACGCTGCGACAGTCTTTCAAAATAAAAGCAGAGTTTGAAAAGCTGAGTTGTGGAGTCTGTTTTCAGCTAAAGTTTTTTATTACCATTATCATTTTACGTAGATCATTTCTCAAGGAAAATATTGTAACGGGACTGCTTAGAGTAGCCTTTATCTTCAAAATGCAAGAAAAATAAAATAACTAAAAATGTAAAACCTAAAGTTGTTCTAAAAGCGTATTTGACAAATGCTGTTGACCAAAGCACTGTACAGAAAATAGTAAAACAAAACTAATAAAAAAACGACCTAAATATAATAGCAGCAAAGATAATAGAATTGACAACAAACAAAACAACTTTAATAAAACAAAAACAAAGTAGATATAAAACAAAACATTTTGTGTTACAGGCACAAAGCCTTTGTACAATATTCACAACATGCACACGTTTTTAACCATTTTTGCTCAAACCTATCCAGCACATATATTGTATAATACTTTTCTACTGTAATTGCGAACACTTGCAACAACAAAAACACATTAAACTAAATTTGACATATTTGCTCAAAGTGGCACAGGGTGGCATTTGTAAAGTTATATACGCAGTCAAAAATTAACATCAATATTTTGGTTTATTTAGCTTTTAAAAAGAAAAAAGTTTTTTTTTGTTTGTTTTGCTTTGCTTTTTTCAAATTCATATTTTCACCATGTTATTCATACATTTATAAATGTCATCGTTCCAAACTAAACATTTAATTTACAAGCTAAATATTTAGTTTACAAACTAAATTTGCAAGTTAAGTATCTAGTTTGTAAACTAAATATTTAGCTTGAAAAGTAAACATTTAGTTTGGAACAATGACATTTATAAATGTATAAATAACATGGTGAAAATAAGAATTTGAAAAAAAAATATATATATATATATTTAAAAGCTAAATAAACCAAAATATTGATGTTAAATTTTGGCTGTGTAACTTTACAAATGGCACCCCATACATAAAGTTATTTCATCACATTAAATTTACTTTTTAGGACTAAAAATTCTAAACTTTAATTAAGTTAGACAAATGTAAAACTAAGTCTATAGAAAGCAAGCAAATCACTAATCAACACACGTGAGCAGTTTATGTATTAGTTAATGGCTTGAACTGTAAGTTACACATCTGACAATGTTATAAATTATTTTTAGGCCATGAGCCCTTTAGCTATCAGTATTACTTAAACTTAACCAACTCATACATCACAATGTGAAAACTTAAAATAATACTTTATATCAGGAAGAATTAAGGAGTATTTTACCTCAAATCTCATTTCAAAACAAAAGGCTAGGCTTGTATGTGGTAAATCAACATAGACTTCATATTATATCTATTGGTGAGTTTTACTTAAAGTTGTGAACTCAAAATAAAGGATCATTGTCAGATATCCATGGCTGTGCTGCTGTTTTGAGATGGCCTTGTCTCCACAGGCAGGGCAGCTTGTGATTGACTCTCATCACTGCAACACTGGTGCAAGAGTCCGGACTGCGAATGATCTCGCACCATTCTGGGTAATCCACTGGTTTAGAGCCACTGTAGGAAAAACAAAAAGTACAACAAGTAAATAAATAAAAAGAGAATGATGAGAATGTTGCATGCAGAGTGCTTGTGTGTGTGTGTGTGTGTGTGTGTGTGTGTGTGTGTGTGTGTGTGT